GATATAACAGCATCCTAATAACAAGATTCACGACACCACTTATACTGTAATCCTCCATTTACGTATATATAGTTTCAATAATAAGTTTTGTTCGTCTGTTTATATTCTCAGGGGAGTCTGGCAATCAGTGTGAGCGCTCTCAGCTCGTTCTAAACCCATTACGGATAAATTAAGCTGGATCAAACCGGTATGCAAATCTAACTGTTCTCCCACCTGGTTACAACGTTTTCGAGTATCTGAAACTTTGAATTAAATCGTTTTAAGAATGTTTTCTTGAGTTATTGACTTGCTTTAGTTAGCGAGCGCTAGCGGCTTCTCCTATAAAAAGTTTCGAATAGGTTTTGATTCTGTAGCTGTATGAATATCGACATGAAATTAACCTGGGTAACTGTTTGAAAGGTAAGTTTTACATTGGTGACAGAAATTTCCAAATCTGTCGAGTAGTTTTGAAGGTTATTTAGTGCAAATCAAGAAACAAGTAAATTAATTTCATTTCATGGTTTTAATGACATGTGATTGTGTAATTTTACTTAATGAATTAATTATATCATTACTTGTGAATTTATTTAATTTGATTAACAGTAACAATGTGACAATAGGGTTATCATCACTACACTACAAATGTAATTTATTTTATTTTTTTAAAGTAATCAAATCTTTTCTCGTTACAATATTAGGTTAATTCGAAATCTTTTAATGTCCTAGGTACTTCCTAAGAAGTTTATGAGGACAAAGTACGTACGAATGTTTGTTACTATTTCACGCAAACGGTAGTATTTGTATTAAGAAGTACCTAAATGAAGCTGGATAAAATTAAGCACAGAGATAGATTATAGTCTGAATTATTAGATACTTATAACGTGGGTGGAACCGCTAACAGAAGCCTGTATAAAATAAATTAGAAAGAAATGCAAACAAAGCAAGTATTTTAAATTATCGTGTGAGTGAAATATTGTAGTCATCTATTCAATATTTTGACAGCACCCTTTCGAAAGTTACGTTTCAATATGCGCCTTTATTTGCTACTCAAGCGAAGGTCTGAAGGTCATTTATCATAGGGGACACATATTGTATTCATATACTTCCTTTTTTTATTAATATATATCTATTAACTCGTCGAGTACCGTCATTATAGACACAATTAATACTCATTATTTATTTAGGTATCGAAATATACATGATGAAAATTCAGGGCAGGCCACAAATTTCAACTACCTTGTAAGTTGTCTTAGGTTCGACTTCTAGTTTAGGCTATTAAAAGTAATACATGTTGGATATTTTCTGAAAATTCAAATTGTAACACTGAGCCTGGTATTAATCCGAGTGTATGACAACATAATAACCATTTAATGTGCAAGTCTGCCTACCATTTTAGGGATTAGGAAAGCGTGATCATAATATATTAATAATTTGTTTGTATTTAAGCACTTAATATAATTATGATTTTATTTATTAAACTGTCAAACACCAAGCGGTCACCGGTGACCGCAACCTATTGTTCCATAATTGTGTCTATAATGACGGTACTCAACGAGTTAAGAAGAAAAATATCTACTAACATCTTGTCTATGTCAACAAAGAACAACTTAATCACAACATATTGAATTAAAAACATAAGTGGACAACAGCTCTAAATACTGCTGTCTCGTCTCTTTTTTATCCCTACATAAAATAAGGACAGCTAGTTGTCCCGGATAATATCATTTCGGGGAAGGGCTAAAGATTAATGGACAACGTTATTTCGCCCTTGTTTTAAAAAAATGAATTTTAGGGTCGATCCATATCATTTTGTCTTTAGTTTACTTCTCATCAGTCGTCGTGTATACGAAATTCGTTTTAAATAGCCTTATACACATGCGTACCCCACTTTCGATTAGGAATGACGTGTTCAAAATTCGTTTTCGTATGGAAAAAATGATGGACGATGCTTTGCTTTACGTCCTTATATTAGCACTCACATCTGAAAGACGAGAAGGATACGGAATGGAGGAAAAGTCCAGAATATTCTAATCTTATCTGTCTGTACCATGCTCATAATGGTTCTCTAGTTTGACTTATTATGTCTACGGACTACACTTAGTAAACTCGTAGCACGACTACGAAAGATCGTAGCGCGTAGCACGAGACAAACAGTTGATAGAACTATTGAGGATAGAGAGCGAACTTCATTAATGTGTTACAACATTAGGTTGCTGAGGATAAGAGAATAATCGCAAGCGCAGTCGTCAGTTATGTGTACCTAGTTCATAGTACACATAATTTGAGCACTGGATCTATATCTACCAAGCTCTACAGCAATATTTAGCAAACCTGGAATTCATATTTATTTAACATCTAACGTACACCGCGAACTTAGATTAACTTTAAAATATTTTTAATTTTTTTTGTTACGTAAGAACCTTCTCCTAAAAAAAGAATCAGCAAAATCGGTTACGATATTGCGCATTTTTATATTAAACATAGATTACACGTTGCCTAGACTGCCTCGTTGGCCGAGTGGTCGCAAGTGTGACTGCCGAGCAAGGGGTCTCGGGTTCGATTCCCGGGTCGGGCAAAGCATTACTGGGTTTTTAAAAATGCTCAGTAGTAGCAACGAGTCCGGAATGGTGCCCGGTATATGGTAATCCTATTACATGGGACTCATAACATAAATAGTGAAAAGTGGGTGTTACATTGTACAATGGCATAATGTGCGCCTCTGCCTACCCCTTCGGGGATAAAAGCCGTGATGTTATGTTTATGTTATGTTATAGATTACACGATCTTATTTAACTTGCCTAGATTGAATGATTTTATTTAGAATGAAGCAAATTCAAAGTCTTGCCCCGTACTTGTTGTTTGGAACAAAAGGTTTTTATTTTTCCGTACATAACATAAGTAGAAAAGTCAATATCATTATAATACAACAAAAAATTAACGATGCTCGCACAACAGCGATCAGTTGTGGTTCCTAGACACTTAATAAGTGAAAGGAGTAATTTATCAAGTCGCCGCAGTTGCTGGGCCAGACCCCAGGGATAACCCTCCATTCATAATGCATGATTTCACACTATAGTACATACCACAACCACGTTAAACTTATCTTTAATATCAAAAACTTAAGCCACGTTTAATTCTCGTATTTAGTTCGACCCTGATTTGAATTTTGGTGGTAGAAATTTTCCTAACTAATAATTTAAATGTAGGTTTTCATGAAGGTTGAAACTTTTATGTGATGTAACACCCACTCTTACTAGTTACGTTATGAACTCCATGCCTATAAGGTGTGAGCTTCTCTCTAATTCTATTATTACTAGCGGACCCGACAGACGTTGTCCTGCATATTATTACGATATTTCAAGATATTAAGTTTTAAATAACCTAGACATCGACTGCAGCGCCATCTGCCGGGTTTTGTAAATCTAAACCATTCCCAGATCACCTTGAACACACAGAAAAAATTTCATCAAAATCGGTCCAGTCGTTTGAGTTGTTGAGAAGTTCAGTGACATACACACTCACAGAAGAATTATATATATAAAGATATTAAATTACTGCGCCCTAAGAAGGTGATGTACTATACTAGTAGTATAATACCTCTATGTAAGTACATTGTGCAATAAATAAATACATTCTTAACTCCGTGCTATTTACTAAAAAAATTACAAACACTAAACAACTCAATATGCTCTGAGAGCTTCGGAAATTGAACAAACTGTTCAACGAATGAGGTCGTATACAAATTATAACTCACAAACATATCCCAGTTTACAACAAGAAACACAGCTCCGCTTCTGAACTTCAAACAAAAACAATCGTAACAAAGGCCTTTATAATCAGTATCTAAACATTTAATAACATTACGGAATTAGGCATGCACCAATGGCTCACCATTTGGGCATATTGGCCGTGTTGTTCCGAGATATGCAGCTTATAATAAAACAATATTAATTATCAATCGACGCTCCACCGCGTCTTTTGTTGGGGAGCACGCTGAGTTTAATATCGGAGGAATGCGTACATTAAACCGCTGGCATCTCCCAGGACTTTTGTTTAAATAATAAAATGGATTTCTATAAACGATGCAGTTAGGAATCCCGCTTGATATTATTAAATATTTATAGACGCCTCTCTTGGGAATATTTTCCGAATTATTGCATTGTTGTACTACATATCAATCCATTACAGTGTTTTAATTAACGTTAAACTTTATTCTGAGCCCATCTGTGTATTCCATTCTGTCGATTAAGTAATTACAACCTTCAGTAACGTCAAAATGTATAATAGCGTTAAACTCAATGAAATTTCTATAAAAAATCAATTAGTTTCCCCTTCAATAGTAAGAGCGGGGCGGGTCTGAATCAGTTCGTTAATGAATTCAAATTTATTCGTTGATCGGGCGCGTCTCGGTGCTAACGTATTTAAAAAGTGATTAGAAGTTAAATTGACACAATATGAACTTTTTGTATCAGCCGCGGCGCGTAATCAGAAACAAAATTATTCAATTTTCAACGTATCGTACGGCGAGACTGAAAATTGATTACTGTGCAAGCTTCCATTTACATTTTACATTCAATAAAATGAAATGTAGGCGTTTTGTATTTGAAAATTAACTGATATAAAAACGTGAACATCGTAGTGGTTCAAGACGTGGAACTGGCGTTATTAACAACGAGAATTGAGATTAAATTTACATTGTTGCTTTTACGATGCGGGCTTAGCCTCGTCTGTTATGGTAAGGTATTCATGAAAGCAAATGTTTGGTCCCGAGGGCGAGCTGCGTTCCACAGAGCGCTCGGTGGAATCATTCGTGTGCTCTAACTTATGATAATTATATTTGGAATAATCCGCCCAAAGCAATGAGTGCAAGAAGCCAACTCACCTCATTCATGAAATATTCCTTTATAGTACTATTCCTGGCTTCTTTCAAATATTCTTTCCTGGAACTTTCTTTTAACATTAGATGTATACTGATGGCCGCATCTTCAATGTTTTGTACTTTCAAAGCATATCCTATACAGTCATGATTACAAATGAGAAGTAGCCACATATCAGTCGCGTAGACATATTATTTTTAATTACCTAATGAAATGTAGATACTAAATAACATATGCTCCTATATAATTTGTGTTCTTATATAAGAGTAAATAAATAAAATCATAAATTTATTTTTCTTGTTCATCTTCTTAGTTATACCATCTATTTTTCATTGTATATGGAGGGTCATAGCTTTTGTTTAACGCTTTGCGTAAAGCATAATATTCTTTCAATTGTTTCTTTGCAAGGTGAGCTTCAGCCATCGCTCTTTTATCTTGATTAAAGATCTGCCGAGTAGCCTTTTTAACTACTACTTGATCGAGACAATTTAGATCCTTCGAAAGTTCATCGTAGTACGTCTCTATATTAATCATCAGGTTAGTCAGCGAATCTCTACAATCTGGTTTGTCTCCATACAGTCCAGAATGAACCAATTGCAAACACATGAACAACTTGGAGGACTCGTAAGATGCGACTAACTCGTAAAAAACTTTCTGCAGTATTTCATGGAACCTCTCCTTAAACAGCTCACTGGTGACTTCCAAAGTCTTTACTTTCTTCAGATATAAATCAATAACGTACTGCATATGTGTACCGTGGTCCTGTATCGAATCTTCGAGGAGTCTCTTTTGCATGTGTAATTTAATAAATGATCCGGAGAACAATCCACATACCTCCAAATAGTGTAAACATTGTCTACTTATGTTTTCTAGAAAATTTATCACCTGTGAAGGTGTTTTGTAGTACAGCTGAGGTGGTAGTCGTGCCAGTGACAGTGCACTTTGTCTATACAATGTCATGGTCTCAGGGGATTCCGATTGCAACTGAGCAATTAATTGGGAACATAGTATGTCAGCCTTCGAGCAATGAGTACCAAAGCGTTTGCGCCACCATTTCGGTGAAATATCAGTTAAGAATTTCTTGTATTGTGACAACTGATCATATTCCGCGACAATGTTTAACAGTTTATTCTTGATCTTAACGAATTTGAAGCTGTAATCTTCCAGTTCATCGGTTACTTTAGCAAGTTTCAAAGCAGTCTCTTTGGCTAATTTCATTACGTATTTTGCTTCTATAAAACTCTCCTCAGAAAATACGAAAAAATTTTGTCTGATTTTATTGAAATCACGATTTACTTTACTAAATTCTTCTTGTTCAGCGGCAGAAAACATATCAATTTGAAGTATTTTGTCTTTTACATAGGCTGCGTTGGCACGAAGTAATGTTGCGTCCCTTAAATCTCTCATGAAGGTTTTAATATCATAGAAGGACCTGACAGGCCTTCCTTCTGCGATTGTAAAGAACTCAGGATCAATGTCACAAACCGTTAAGATTTCATCCGTGGTAGGAGGATCACGTGTTCTCTTGGGACGTTTTACACCTGTGGTGGTGACCCTTAACCGGTCCGGTAAAGTATATGGGTTCCGATATTCTTCTTCCTTTAGCTCTTTCTCACAGGTTTTGATTATTTTCTTTTTAAAGTCATGACTTACAGTTACTGGTTGTATTGTATTCTCGCAAAACCTTGCAGAAGTTTCTAATTCGGGCAATTTTAGGACCCTATTGTTAGCCCGTGCCTTTTTAAATAGTTCTTGGGAAGTCAAATTGGATCTGGAAGAGGAAAAGGATTGTGAACTAGATTTAGATACTTCCCTCGCGTGTATTAAATTTACAGACGTTATTGCTCGGAAACTACTGATGTCTGATATGGTCAACAATAATCATTACTACATTCTGAACATTGCAGAGGCAACAGAAGATATTTATCGACTACAAGAAAAGTAGTAATAAAATGAAATGATAATGAAATTACATGAAAGCTTCAGAATTTGATCCTTAGAATTAGATTACTTTTTGGAGATAGCCTAGATCCTGGATGGACTGGATAGATCCTAGATGGACTAGACCCTTATTAACTATTCAAAATATGCAGTAACATAGCCCTTATCAGATCTCAGACAGATTTACGCTTAAGATAAAGTTGCAAATGTACGCAACTTAGTCTAAAGCTAAATCCGTCGATAACATGATAATGTTATCAAGTTAATACTTTAAAAAATGAACTTACTTTTTCATTATTATAGTATGTATAAATGTTACACGAAACTAAAAACAAAAATATTACTTCTTAAAAATATGAACATACAATTCCCACAATAAATGACATGTGGGTTTTATGATTTTATTGGGTTTTGCTTGATTTGTTTCATTTACTCTGTCACTAACAGAAAGAGGTTCTAGTGATACCTATATCACCTATTTTAATAAAATTTATTCAATAGGATGACTTTTTTCCGTCATTGCCTGATGGTAAGCAATGATGTGGCCGACAATGAAGCTTGCTTACGTATGACCAACCTGTTCACCTTAGATATTTATCGATGTAATTTATAAAAAAAAATAACTGTTCAATCGTTTATAAGCGCGTTACGTCGAAACGACTGTACCAATTCGAGTAACTCTTTTTGTCGTGATTAATATTATTTTGTGATCTGATCAAACACAATATTGTATGTATTTTAACTCCCTAACAAGTCATGGGTTGTTCAATAAATTGTCCAATAAGTCGGTGGGGAAGATGGTCAATTAATTTGACTAGCCCTGTGTGACCACAACCCTTTTGTCCGGGACATCTTCAAACTGTAGGAGGTGATGCTTCCGACACCTGTGGCCAATGGCCCAAGTTACAAGCTGATGAGACTGCTTTATTTTCAACAAAATATAATATTGAACCTGCCTTGTCATAAATGCAAGGAAACATTTTTTGTCTTTTGTAGCTCCTTTCCAGTTTCAAAGTTTATAAAGAGATGGAGGGCTAAATTTAAATAAGTTTCATAAAGTTATACATAATTATATATAAAATTGGAATGTCTGTAATATTAAAATAACCGATTTTTACTACATGCATATGAATATACACACGATACACATACTAATATAACATTTTTTATCACAATTGTCGATCTGTCTATCTATTTGTACTGCCTAATCTCTGAAATGGCTGGACCGATTTTGACATAGGCTACTTTTATTTTGGAAAATTAAACAAAAAAAGTTATTTTCCAAATTCATATTACCTATACGCGAACGAAGTTGCGGGCTAGAGCTAATAGGTAATAAAATAAAGAAAAAGCTGTTTTTAAGTTTCACATTATCACATATTTCATAATCCTATAATTATGAAATACCTATGTGCAAACCGTAAATAATTAATTTATTATTGTAGAAACCTACTACGCTCATACGTTCAATACAATACCTACCATCTTTAACAATCTTCATCATGACGCTTGGACCATACATTTCTGAGACTGACCAGAACCCTTTAGAAATCTCATGGAACTACACCCGTGGGGAATGAAGTGACCCTTATAGCTAATTTAATTAATAGTTGGTCAATAACTAATTTAATTAAATGCCTTTCGATGGAAATTACGTAGTCACTTATAAATCCGTTGATCAAGTCTACGCAAGCAAGTATTTTGTCTCAATAAGGGTTCGTATACAAAACTGCGATGCGACAACGCATCGCAAAAATGTGCGAGCTCCCTCTACGCATCGCAAGAACTTGCGAATTGATTCGCATCGAGCATCAAAATTTTATCTTCCACAAATTTTCTTTGTTTATTTTGCCTGTACCTATCTCTTAAGCAATAACACAAGTGCACACTTCTTTTTACGATCGTACGTCATGAATAAAAGGCATGGTGTATATGTATTATACTATTATAGGATTTTATTGACAATGTAATTTATTTATTAAATGATTTACAAATAATATATAAATACTTAAATAAAATAAATACTAACTGTTACTTAAGAAACTGGGCTATACGATCAATGGGGATGATGACAGGGTATGAAAATTAAAAATATAATTAGTCCGTAAGTTAGGTAATAAAAAAATATTAGACACGTATTTTTATTAATTTTGTCGCATAATAAAACAATACTTAGATAAAACGAATCAAAGTTTTAGAGTGGGGGCTAAAACGTCATTGCTACGTAGCAATGACGTTTAAAATATACGTATAAAATGGACATAGAAGTGACGTCACGCGACATTTCAAATCAATATATCGTCGATAGTATTCATTTCTGTAAGAAAATAAAAAATACGTGTCTAATGATTTAGAATAATCTACAAGACTGACATTAAAATAAAAATTAGACATCTACCCTATATGGGAAATAAACTATGGAATGTGAAAACCGGTTCAGTAGTTTCAAAGCTTTATCCAATGCACAGAAACAGTCAAATATTTCATCTTAGCAATATTAATAACCGTTGTATTAAAACATTAATGGATACATTTCTCTTTTTAGTTAAAAAACTTGCAATATTAACTGGATTTATACTTACCGGCTGCCGAGGAAGTATCGTTAAATACTAAGTAAAATTTATATACAAGTGGAGCACTTTCCTGCAGTTATTACGGCTGAAAAGTTTCCAACTAAGTATAAGTTACGCGTCTGCTTGTTAAATTTCATATAGTTGCTTTGCTTTTATATGGAAAATATGTTTCAAAAAGTTTTGTAGGTAAATCTATACTAATATTATAAAGAGGAAAGATTTGTACCTATTTTTGTATGTTTGTAATGAATAGGCTCAAAAAGTACTGGGCCGATTAAAAAATTCTTTCACCAATAGAATGCTACATTCTTCCAATTTGACATAGGCTACATTTCATTTTGGAAAAAATTAGGGATCCTTGGTACTTAAAATTTGAACAATGTAACCGAAGGTGTAGAAACATGAGTCTTAAAAGTTTTTCGTCGAATGCGCTACCGAAACTATTAGCGATAGAACAAAATAATGTACAACAATATTGAAGAACATCATAATGTCTACAAAAAACTCCGCAGTAGCATATGTCCAACTATTGTAGTTATGTCCCTACAACAATCCATATTTCCAAAAATAAGTAATTGTCTACCCGTGCGAAGCCGGGACGGGCTCCTAGTCTCATATAATATAAGAAACTATCTACATGTTTGTAAATTAGTACTTACGATTCAGCAACCGTTCTCCTGCTATAGGGCAAGTTGCTGGCAGGGACAGCAATTTGCTTCTATCTAAGACACTGTAAGCTATAGACAGATGTCGCGGAGAACCTAACGGGTAACCGGGGCTCCGGCTCGACGTGCAGGAATAGGAACGGGGTGGTTTTTCGTCAGTAAGAGTCTGACAGTCCCTCCCGCCTCACCCAGGCGGGAGGTCATTAGATGATTTCCCCCCCTTAAAAAAAATCTATAAACAGATATGTCTATTTTTGTAATATTGCTTGTCTTAAGATTCAATGTTTAGTATCTACGTTAAAAAAGGCACCTACGATCCCGTCACTGCTGGCGTACAAATTTAATCAGCCCCCAGCGATTATGGAAATGCGACGCAAATGAATGGATTTACCCCCATTCAAATTAGACTCAGTCTAATGCCACGTGGAAGACTGCTCATTTATTAAAGACACAACACATCTTAATTTGTACACGTTGTTTATTTATCTTGTAAATACTACATTTAATTCAGATTTGACATATAGATAAACAACTTGATTTTCATGACGACTTAGGTCGAGGTACATAACATACAAGGACGTTGATAAAAAGGCGGACATAGTGCCACTTAGAAATTATTGAAGCATTTTTAAGTGTGGGAGAGCCATGATTCCCAATTACCCTCCCCTTCCCCAATCTCCTCAATTCCTGAATCCCCAACGTTCCTCAAACTCCTAATCCCCAAAAGGCCGGTAACGCACTTGTAACGCCTCTGGTGTTCCAGGTGTACATGGGCGACGCCGATTGCTTACGATCAGCCATCAGGTGATCCGTATGCTCGTTTACCGGCTTATGCTATTAAATAAAAGCACCAAAATATCAGAGAAATGAAATGAATGAATGAATGAATGAATGAATGAATGATATGAAATAAGTTTATTCGGCATAAGACATGCACGCCAGGAAAAATAACTTATACATTGACAAATAACAATAAAAAGGTTTAAAAAAGGACATAGAAAGAAAAAAAAGATATTAGGTAAATTATAAAACTAAAACTAGCTAATAATACAGGTATAACATACTCCGGGTATTATTTATGTGTATCTGTGTAATGGGTTAACAGACTTAAGAAAATGACAGATGTCCTTTATGTCTATGTGTGTATATCCTGCGTGTAAGTCTACAGGGTGGTCGGGCAGTTGACGTTCAAGCGTAAAATTTAGATACTTTATGATGAGGAGTATCCAAATCACACCATTTATGTTCTACGATTTAACGTAGCTTTCGAGTTATATTCTTTTTAATGATTTCTTTCGTAATTTTCGCCTAACATCAGTATTCGATATTTTCTCATTTTGCTGGACGTTTCTGGTTGAGTTGGTTTGTGATAACTAACTAAGATATTTTAACCTAGCACCCTAAAACTTATAATTTATTTTTATTTATTTTTTTCAAGGCTTCATGCACACACTAATGGTACAAGGTGGGCTTAATGTCTAGGGCATTCTCCTTCAGCCAGACCTTTGGGTGGTGCAGAGACAAAAACAATTTCGAAGCAAGAAACAAGCGTATTTAAGAATAATGACCTAGATAAATACATAAAAAAAAAATAGTATAGACTTTCATAAAATAAATCCCTATTGTTGTTTTAAAGCCGCGTCATTTTCTAGGAAGTAACTCGTATATCGATTCTGAGTCCGAATCAATAAAAATATAGTAGGTAAATATTTTTCATTTTTCTGAAATTATGAAAATCCATAAGAGCGAACTACACGCCGCCGTCTTGTAACTAGCTTTATAACGCGGCTTAACACACACAAACTTAAAAACGTAATTGATATTATTCCTAATTCCATAAAACTCCAATAAGAAACATTGCTGTCGCTTATTCTAAAATACTGACGAACTTAAACGATTTATTATAGCCGTATTTTTAACAATTGGCCCGAAATTATCTCTTATATTGAACCTTTATGACTTCTGTGACAAGCCCCCGAGAAATGACACGGTTTTAAAACATATACAAGATAAACTTACATAATTATATTACATACAGTACTTAGGTTTATCTAGGCGTTGCAAAATTAACAATACTCTACGAAAGTTCAAAATTATGATTTGAGCGCAGTACACATAAGTAAGTACCAAAAAAAAATGTAAATGTTCCTGTACCTAAGATAGGAAAAGGAGGCTCCACTGACCAGGCGAGGTGATCATGTCTGGCGGGCTTTCTGCCCAACAGCTGTTCGTTTTAGGGTGCTAGACTTGGTTAGTCAGTTATCACAAACCGGAAACTTCCAACAGAATGAAAAAAAATCGAATACTGATTTTAAGTGAAAATTACGAAAGCAATCATTAAAAACAATATAACTCGAAAACTACGTAAAATCGTAGAACATACATGGGGATGATTTGGATACTCCTCATCATAAAGTATCTAAATTTTACGCTTGAACGTCAACTGCCCGGCCAGGGTGGCCGGTATAGTAACAAGGTGCCGCAGACTTCGTTGCAAGAAATTGTATCCCCCTTTTTTCAACGTCCTTGATAACAGATAGGTACACTTTTAACTAGTTATGATTCTGAGCTTAATGTAGTAGGTAATAAGTATCCTATTGCAATGCCTACATGAGTCATTATTATTTAAAATCTAGATCATTGTAATCATATTAAATCTTTAGGTTAAAACTCTTCTCAAACGCTTGGTGGCCCCTACAAATACCAAACAAATAAAGTCCCAAACATTGATGTGTAGCAAGTTTGTGCATACTAGACTTTATATATACTATATTACTAATAGACTTTGGTCTGTGGTTGTATTCGCCACTGTTCGGTATTGGTGTCGAACAGTGGCGAACAAAACTGTTCGGTATTGGTGTCGAACAGTGGCGAACAAAACTGTTCGGTATTGGTGTCGAACAGTGGCGAACAAAACTGTTCGGTATTGGTGTCGAACAGTGGCGAACAAAACATGTTCGTGTTTGCTGTTTACTATTGTTTGCCTACTGTGTAGACCCGGCTTTAAGATTCAGAAACAAAACTCGTTAAATTAGTTCCACTGTTCCCTTGTCACTCGTGGTTTCGTATTTGACCCCACATCTTGCAAAAGGCGACCCCTCTTGTCTTGAAGGGGTCAAGAATAAATTGCAATCTTTGAACCCAATGTTTGTGGTCTTTAAGATAGCAGATATTAATTAGTTGGGATGTCTGATCTTCGAATTTAAAGACTATCTGGGAACCTACGGCTTCACCTGCGTAGTCGATGGAAAAATAACCTGAGGTCCTATGGGTCCTAAATTTTTAGGTTTAATGAGATCGAAACGAGAGACCGCGATCGGCGCTCTGATTGGCCCCCTCCAATGAACTAACCAATCATGTACAAAGACCTATGTACATATCTTTGCCTACGACTAGCCTTGAGCTTCCTAACTGTTCCCAGCACAGAAATATTAAATACCTCTATAGGTATCTATAGTTCCCAGATATAAGAATCATATTATATTCTATAGCATAAATCATGGCTACAATTTTCGTAATGGGGGTATGTTCGCGCATTCTGTATTTTCTCATTATTTTTTACTTTGACTTCTAACAATATTATTTTTGTTATTCTTTTACGATAATTTACTTCCTATAGATAGGATTAAAATGAAATTAAGCCCATAACCATAAAAACAAATTTTGAAAAAATACGCAATGCGCGAATCCTGATGTTATGTTCTTCGTTATTGTTATAATTGTAGGTTTCGCTATGATTATTCTGTACTTGATACATTGCTAATGATAGCTGTATGTACTTCCACAGTATACGCCCAATTGTTTACACTTCTGGCAAAGTTCCATAGGATGTTTCTTCTTTGGATCACTTTTGTCCAAACCCTTTGGTTTCTCGAGAGGTGTCTGAAAAAATAGATATTATATAAATTATCTTTCTACATTGGTATCTCGTTGGTTGAGTGGTCGCCAGTGAAACAGATCGGTGTTGTGCCTGTTCGCGTCCACCTAACCTAAATTAGCCAGTTCGCATCCATTTTACGGATCGTCATGCATGAATGTACTGTGCATGTTCGGGAGCTACTTTTGAAGAGATTGGCAGAATCGTAACTATCAATATACTATGTATAATTATGTTACTTACGTCTAAGTAGTATATGTAATAAAATTATGTTAGTTTATTGTTGTGTCATATTCATGTAAGTTATTATAGGGGTTTATTTTATGTAAATCGATACTATCCTTTTTTATATATTTCTGTTGATCATTATTCTTAATTACGTTTGTTTCTTGCATCGACCATTGTTTTTGTCTCTGCATCTCCCAAAGGTCTGGCTGGAAGAGAATGCCCTTGGCATTAAGCCCACCTTGTACATTAGTGTGTGCATGAAGCCTTTTTAATGAAATAAAAATAAAATGTAAGATACTAAAAACGTGAAAAGTCTAAACTGACGCGTACTGGTGGGTGGACGCGAACAGGCAAAGGGTATACAACATGTAACTTAAATAACGCACATCCTAAAAATAATTTGTTCAGAATCGTAAACTGAATCGATTTATATAATTTTTAGTATAGGTAATTTTTTATCGAAAAATAATTAAAACTACGGAAATTATTGTCATATTAACCCTGTATTGTAAAAACAAATCGAAATGGACCGTAAGTCGCGCGTCGCTGAATTCTACTCATGAATATGAGCCTCTAGCACGGCTTGAAACCAGTCGAGTTCCTCGTCAAACAGATACGTGAGTGAGACGAAAACATAATTATTAATGGCATTGCTGGGTTTTTTTTTCAGGGGGGAAAATCATCGAATTACTGCTCCCGCCTGGGTGAGGCGGGAGGGAGTGTCAGACTCTTACTGACTAAAAACCACCCCGTTCCTTCTCCTGCACGTCGAGTCGGAGCCCCAGTTACCCGTTAGGTTCTCCGCGACACATTGCTGGGTTAGAGCCGTGCTGTGCGCCGTCGTTGTTAGGACCTATAATCGGGTATACGACACCCGCGGGAAGAGTAAGGATGGTAACAAATATATTCCACTCTACCATCACTATACGGCATGTCTAGAGTAAAGAAGGTAGACAATCAAAATTAATACCTGTTTATGTGGCATAACGTTGATTCTACATTGAGTACACTCCTGGCCATAGTTGGCCCAGGAATTGGCACTCATCCACTTTCGGTTGCATTGTGGGCATTTGTATTCGCCAAAACATCGTTTCTTGCCGTTGTATGGGGTCTGAAATAAAATGAAGCTATGTGTTACGTATACATAAAATATTAAAAGGTTACAAAATAGACAAGAAAATGCATTGTGAGATGTCCTGACATGTTTTGATAAACCTTTTAAAGTCATCATCATAACATCACGCCTTTTATTCCCGAAGGGCTAGGCAGAGGTGCACATTATGCCACTGTACAATGTAATACTCACTTTTCACAATTTATGTTATGAGTCCCATGTAATAGGGGGTGAGCCTATTGCCATATACCGGGCACAATTCCAGACTCCGTGCTACTACTGAGAATATTTTAAAGACCCAGTAATACTTTGCCCGACCCGGGAATCGAACCCGAGACCCCTTGCTCGGCAGTCGCACTTGCGACCACTCGGCCAACGAGGCAGTCCACAAGTCCACAAGGCCAACAAGGCCCAGGAATTGATAATGACATTGGTTTCAAGAGCAGGTGTTCATTAGTGTACATTAAAGATACCTTCATGATCTACCTATCTATACCAACAACAATAGTAGATTACCTCTTCCACGGATGTAAGTCCCTCACATATTAATTAGAAAATAATAAAAAAATATAATTATTGATTTTAGTAACAGAAAGTGTCAAACGTTCCATTAGTGAATAGTTTTCAGCCATTTTGAAATTCAATTTGGTTAGGAATCCATTGAAGACACTATTTTCCCCTAGTTTTTTCTTTTTTCAATCCTACCGATATTATTTTGTTTTACAATTTTAGGATAATCTTATAGCTATATATTAAATATACACAGATTTTATCTACACTAATAGTATAAAGAGGAAAGATTAGATTTTTTTTGTTTGTTTATTATTAACCACCGAACCTTATTGATTAAAATTCGGCTCAACGAGAGTTTGAGACACTGGCACTGGAAAGGAAATCTTACGGGACAAGAACTATGCGTTAAAATTTCCGGGACTCTCTATTGCTTAAACCACTGAACCTATTTGAGTGCAACTCGGTACAACGATAGTTTGAGACTCGAAAAATGACGCCTGGCAGTTTTCAACCGCTGTATCTATTTGATTGGAATTCGAATGGATTTTAATCACTTAACGGGACTGGATACTAAACAGATAAAATCCCTGTGGGATTGTTTATTTATTGAAATCACGAAAATAAACAACATTTCACAATAAATATAACTAAATTGATTCTGATGAGATTTGATACACAGCATTGCAATTAACCTTAGAGAAGACTAATTAAAAAATCCAAAATTTGCCAGAAGTCATTACTGTACGCTGACCAAGTCGCGGGGAACAGCTAGTATTACATAAACATAGATTTTATTAAGTATAAAGTCAATAATAAGTGTCCACTTATAGGTTAAAGTAACTGTGTTCACACATTTTTGTGTGAATTTTAACAAAAGCAATACTAGCCGTAGTATGACGCTTGATCAGTCTAAAGGTCCGGTATACGACTTACATAACGCCAAAATATAAATTTTTATATACTGTTGCACACGTAATTTGCAAATAATTATATTGTATTCTCATTGTTACCTACAAAATCTCCAGATTCAGTGTACGCACTCAGTACTTACCGTCATTTTGGTACTAATAATAAAACACACTCAAACTGCACTCAACAAAGAAATGATAGACTTTTCTAGAATTTTAAGGAAGAACAAAATTGATTGTGTCTTCTCCCTGGGTATAAAACCTTTAATGACGGAGTTCCATGTCAAATTTTTCTTTATATTACTACTCATATGGCTGGGACATAACAAGATAACAGATATTACTAATACCTGTTCTTTAAGCCTGGTATATGAGGCGATACTTTTTATAACTGCTATTTGTGCAATTATTATACATAGTAGATGATAGTGTATAATAATAAATATTATGGTAGATCGTTCACATTATTTGATGAATTCTAAGTTTTTTTAATTTTAAATACTGTGTTTACAAATCTAACGTCTTACTTTAATATTACAATAGAAAAGTTTGTGTGTATGTTTGTCCGGCGTTTGAGCTAGCCTATTCGAGCCGAAGCATGACTCTCTCACTCTTAAAAAAATATGTATATAAAAATGAATCCAAGCAATCACGCGTGAACGGCTGGACCGATGTCACATTATTTTTTGTTGAAAATGAAAATAAAAATGAAAATATTTATTTGTAAACATATAGGTGCTGTGTTTGTTATTGTCAGAAGACGGTTCATATGACAGAAAAAAAATACCTAAAAGTTCTACGGGAACGGAAATCCAGAAAACGGGATTCCGTATAGGAAGTCGCGGACAGTGAAAAAATTAAAATACACGAAAACCCTCCATTACGCATAAATATTTTTTTATAGTTTAGATAGAAATATTCCCTCTGTATCACTTCCTTTAAAGTCAAAGTCAAAATAATTTATTTCAATTAGACGAGAGAGGCACTTTTGAACTTCAACAACAAAAAAAAACAATCCTACTCGACCGCATACAACTTAGAGGTGAAATGTAGGTGTTAAACTTAAAAATTGTTTAACTCTGTCTACCCTTTCCTTGATGATCTATGAATTTTCCATGTCTCTAGTGATTAATGGAAAATTCAAAATACACAACTGCACACATAACATTATGAAGGCTAAACGATAAAACATATGACCTACCGATAAACAACGCGCAACGTAGCGGGTTCGATTCCCGCACGAACCAACTTTTTATGAAATCCACAAATTGTTGTTTCGGGTCTGGGCGTCATGTGTATGTGAACTTATATATTTGTAGGTAAATGCACCCAAGACACAAAAAAAATCCTAATATGGGACAACGTTCTTTTTAATATTTAATATTGATAACAGTTACAACGTGTAACAGTTATTTTGTACTCATTTTCACGGTCATTTACGCTGACGCGTGCACTGCACTGCGCACTCTAGAATACAATTCGCGGGGAAATCCCGACTAGTGTACTTCGATTACGGAGTTGCTAAAACGATAAAAATAACGCCGCCACTTTTGAACATGATAAAGAATCAGTTATTGTACGTGTATTAGGTACAAGTATTTACAGTCATAACACCTATTATTTTTACATGCCAATTGCCAATCTTTGTATTATTGTATTTTTAAGCTACTTTCGCTTACGTTCCCGGGGTAAAAACCTACTTACTCCCGACCATAATCTACCCCTGTTACGAATTTTATCCATGTCCCTTCAGCCGTTTTTATGTGACGGAGTACACAAATACATACAAACATACCAACCCACAAACATTTGACAAACTTATATTTGCGTTTGGTACAGTAACTGTGTCTAGGGATCGAGCTGCACAATTAAGTTCTACACATGACAGTGCTTTTTTTTTAATCGAGGAAAATCAACGAATCACTGCTCCCGCCTGGGTGAGATGGGAGGGAGTGTCATACTCTTACTGTCTAAAAACCATGCCGTTCCTACTCCTGCACTTCGCGCCAGAGCCCCGGTACCCGTTAAGTTCGCCGCGGTGTTGACTTGACAAAATTTGACAGTGTTGGAGATAATTTTCATAATACTTTTAGCAACATTGCATAGCCGTCAAATCTTCACGGGTAACTACACAAGTGTTGCCAATTACTCTTAATAGTAGGTAAGCCATAGGGTGCAGGGTGGCAAGGTGCCAACTGGCTAACTATGCAATCCCTCTGTGCCTTCTAAACCTTCATGCTTCTATTAGCTTTTATGGTGGCATTTCGGAGTCAGAAACTCGTTTTCATTGTATGTTTACTGTGTGATGACTACATGGCTACAATATATGTAAGTGTGAGAGAGCCATACTTCGGCATGAATGGATCGGCTCGACGTGAGTGATACCACGGCCTCAGAGAAGACTGACGTGAAACAACATGTGTTGTGTTTCGTCGTGTGAGTGAGGTTACTGGAGGCCTAATTTTCAATATAGATACTAAAACCTTCTAAGTGTAACGAACCCTTTTCTGAAAACCGCATCAAAATCGGTTTATCTAATCGCGAGATAACCGCGCACAAACATGCATACAGGTCAAAAGCGAATAAGCGAACCTCCTTTTTTAGGTCGTTTAAAAATAATATAGACTGCGTTATGCCAAGCATATGTTATTATAAAATATCGCTATAAGAACATTATTAAACTATTACTATGTCCGAAGTAAAATCTCGTACTTACGTTTAAAAACAGGCTAAAATTATTTACAAACAGGTGTAGGTATAATTACCCCTTAGCATAAAAGAAATCCAAATGTTAGCAACTAATTAACAACTGTTCACAGTGTTGACTTTCTCCATTTCACAAAATGCGACATCTCCAATGCCTTGTTAACACTACGCTAGTACACTAGTCGAGTAGTGAGTAACTTAGTGACTAAATAGATCTGAACACCAATTTAGTCAAGTAGCTATGTGAAGTACAAACGATTTTGGTACGGTAGCGAGTGAAAGATACTAAATTGGGATGATGACAGGGTATGAAAATTAAAAACATAATTAGTCCGTAAGTAATGAAAAATATTAGACGCGTATTTTTTTATTTTGTCGCATAATATAACAATTCTAAGATAAAATGAATCAAAGTTTAGGAATGGGGGCTAACACGACATTACTACGTATAAAATGTACATAGAAGTGACGTCACGCGATATTTCAAATCAATTTACCGTCGAAAGTATTCGTTTCTGTAAGAAACTAAAAAATACGTGTCTAATGATGTTAAATAATTTACCAGACGGACATTAATTAAAATAAAAATTAGGCATCTACCCTTTTATTCGCTAATTGACTAAAATACTAACGCAGTGTAAACAAGGCACAATGCATTAAAGAGAGAGATAGTATAAACACGCTACTCGTCAAAAATACTAGCATACTGCGAACGAGGCATAAGGGACGGTCGCTCGGGTTGCACCGATTAAGCATTCAAGAGGCCGACTTCGTCTCGCCTCGCTTTGCCTTACTCCTCATTCGGCTCGTCTCGTCTAATTACCACGGCACTCCCCATCCACTTCTGTTTACTCACATTTAAGACGAAATTACATCAAGTGTCTACCTTTGCATTGAAGATGAAGCGCTTCCGAAAACATGACAAGTTGTATCACACCTGGGGCTTACCTACTCTTGAATCCAATTCCGATCGATCGACATTGGTAGTGTAAAATTGTAAATTAGTACTCTTGAGTTGCAACACTAGCGTCCATTGCATTCGTATTGCGTGGATATTTAAAAAACTAAATGGTATTGAATTTGTCTTTATATTCCGTACTTTGAATGCTATTTCAACAGCTACGATTGGGGTTGTATAGTTTTGACATTGAATAATTATTGGGATTTTATTGGATTGAAATTGCAATGATATTGAGTGAAAGTAGCATTCAGAGTACGGAATATAAAGCCAACCTCAATACCATACCATTTAGTTCATTCAACATCCACGCAATACGGATGCAATGGACGCTAGTGTTGCGACTCAAGAGTACGAAATTTCACAATACCAATGTCGATCGATCGAAATCGGATTCAAGAGTAAGCCCCCTGGTCTTTGTCAATAGAACAAAATTATGTAAGTTTTTAGATACTACAAGTTATAATTAGCATGGTTTTTATTATGCAGATAAGAAAGTAAATATTGACTTAGTACAGAGACAGTAGCTATGGTCGGGTTAGTAGCCAATCAATGGTTAATTGGTTTCTCTACTGTCGTAGCTTTGTCGTTTAAATTAAAACAGAAGACTGTACATTAAATAGGTTTATTCACAAATTAGAATCAAGACCGGCGCGCACCGACACAAAGAAATACCCGAAAGCTTTGGCGTGAGTTAGCGCGGCCGTGGGTTTTTATACCCCCATCCCGCGCGTCGCCGCCATTATGGTCGATGGCCATACTAATGTCTCTCTAACGAATCAATCTTGATTTTCTTACCTAAATAGTACATAGATGTGCCGACTGTACATACATGCACGGTCTCGCTAGTAATTTATTAATCCCTTTACCTATAATAATTATGTTATAAAGTACATGTATGATAATAAAGATATAAAAATTTGTTAATTCCTAGAGAATTTAGAACATTCCAGAAATCGAATTCAATATAAATGCAAGGAAATATGGACCTTATATCAAACTAAATTGGGTTGGACGGAACTACAACAATCAGATAACATTGTGCATTATTTATACTAATAATAACTACACTGTTCCTCCCACTAAGAGAAAATTATCAGTTCTTGGAAGTGCGGACTGTTATCAGTGGTAAATAAGGTAGGGAATTATATGTGCACAGATATATACTAACCAGATTGGCGATATATTAAACTTCTTTAGCCCTTCGGCTAAATTAAAAGTAGGTACCCTTAATCAACAAGCATGCATGAAAAGATTGATGACTGTCGATGAAGCGAAAAAGGTATGTAGGAATCGTAACAATTGGCGTTTCATAGTCTCTGACTATCGCATGGGAGACAGGCGTGAAGTTATAGATGTATATCTGCACAAACTAAAAAAACTCCTCACAGCATACACTACATGACTCTTATACCTATAGATCTCTCTCAGACAAACATAGGTAGACTGTAAGTAGCTGACACAAATACAGGTCGAACACACCATCAACCTGTGGACATTATTGTAACATATGAACTAGGGAAATAAATAACTTTCTATTCTATTCAGTGGACTTTACTTGATGAAATTTATTGTTTTGAAATACTGCCAAATTTTGAACTTCATCACAACATATTACAA